CCCAGAGGGAGCAGCCACTGCCCGGGACAAGCGTGCCCGACAGATCCACCCTCCCAGCTCACGATTTGCTTTGTTTTTAGAGATTTACTTATTTATTACTGGAAAGGCAGATTTACAGAGACAGAGCAAGAAAGTCTGTCCACTGCTTCACTCCCCAAGAGGCTGCGACAACCATAACTGGGCTGATCTGAAGCCAGGAGCCAGAAGCTTTTTCCGGGTCTCCCACATGGGTGCAGGGTCCCAAAATGTGGGCTGTCCTATACTGCTTTCTCAGGCTACAAACAAGAGCTGGATGGGAAGTGGAGCAGCTGGGTCATGAACTGGTGCCCAGATGGGATGGCCCTGCAGACACAGGATGAACCAACTGACCCACCTTGTTCACCCCTCCCCCACCCCCTCTGTGCTCAAGTTTGACACACAGAGCTCTGTGTGTGTCCCACGGGCGTCCCAACCAGCTTAGGCAGGCAGCTGATCCCTCCACCCCACAGTCTGGTCTTGGGGTGCTGGAGGGAGGCAGGGTCCCCCTCTGGACACCTGGTTCTGGGTCCCTGGAGGCCCGGCTCAGCCCACAGCATCCCAGCCAGGTCTGGCCACCTCCAGGGCCTAGCCAGGTCTGTAGCTCGGGCCCCTGTGCTGGTCTGGTCCTCAGTCAGCAGATGGCAGTGCCTGGGGGCTACAGGGCCCTCACTGGCACCCTCACTGGCATCACCTCCGGCGGGCCCCCTCCCTCACCAGCTGTTTCCAGAACCCGTGTTTGTTGTCTAGCTCCTGGAAACCCCATCTGATCAAGCAGGTTCTGGGGCCACAGGCGCCCAGGAGCCCCACTGGGAGGCAGCACCCCGCTGGGACGGGCAGACCGAAAGCTCCATCTGGGAGGGCAGCCATGCATGGCTTCCTCACCTACATCTGGCCCCCTCCCAGGCCAAGAGAGGCCTAGGCCGGGAAGTCAAGTTCAAGAGGCAGCAGGCCCTGCTCATGTTCCCACATGATGCCTGGCTCAGCTCTACAGGCAAGGCTGGGGGCTGGGCCATCTCACAGGCCCAAGGACCCCCACCACAATGGCTCCCCTTGGTGACAGGAGGTAGGCCGGCCCATGCCAGGTCCTCACCAATGATGCAGGCAGCTGTGGCACCCAAGGGTGGAATGGGAGAGGGGACTGTGGCCTAGCAGGGGCTGAGACAGCCACCCATGTCTACTGTGTGGACTGACACTCCTGGCTGGGCCGGTGAGGAGGTGGGGAGGCCCGCTGAGGCCAGGGAAGGGAGGGACAGACCCGTCGACTTCATGGTGGAGCCCCAGGAGCAGGGTCCCTGCTGGTACAAGCTATGGCTCCCAGTCCTGCTGCCTGCTGGGGTTTGGTGGGCTAGTAAGAGAAGGGGCCGTGGTGGGAGACTGGAGTGTGCCAAGGAGTCTCAAATCCCTGGACAACATCAAGGAGTGGGGTTCTTGGATCCAGCATGGCCTGGCTGTTGGGGTGCTCCAGGGTGCCAGCTCCTGGCCTCTGGCCGCAGCCAGCCCTACACAGGGCTGGGGGGAATGTCCTCATAGCTGGCAGGCTGTGCCTTGTCACATGCTGCCAGCTGTCCCTGGGCCTTGGAGACCCCCAGCAGCCCCAGTCCCCTGGGAGCTGGGTGCCTGCGGCCCAGCATGAGCCACCCCCACTGCGCTCCCAGAGGAGCCTGGCTCTGGGCACTGGACTGCCTCAGGCACTAGTGGACCAGTCGGGGATGGGGGAAGAGAAGCTTCAGACTCACTTCTTTGCAATTTATGAGACAGGGATGGCAGTGAGGCCCCAGCCACAGGCTCAGCCCACGACGGCTGGGGTGGGGCCATGTCGCTGGCAGAAACCCAAGCTGAGCTGTCCCCAGCGGCCACCTGGGGTGCGCACCAGTGGGGAATCGGGGTCAGCAGCAGAGAGGGACCCTGACAATGTGGGACACAGGTGTCACCGTGAGGACCAGTCACAGCACTGGAACTGGAGCCCAAGCTGGAACACAGTGACGGCACACATGACCCGAGGGCACTGCTGAGGGAGATGCCCGGAGCGGAGCTGTCAGGCGTTCCTGCACGCTTGGTACCAGACGCAGGCACTGGGGGACGAGCGGGCCACACCAGAGGGGCGTGCGTGACCACCAGTCCCAGCCAGCATCAGCTGCTGTGCCCGACCGTGGCAGCCCGGACGGTCCCACTGGCTGGCGCTCATGCTTTCCTGCCTGGCCTGTGCTTCTGCCGCTCTCCTCTGCATTGGGATCCTGGCTCAGCCGGCTTTCATCCTTGCTTGTTTATAATAAAAATACTTGAGGCGTTAAGTTGCCTCCAAGAGCGGTTTGGCTTTGGACGCTGGCCTGGGCAGCGTCTTCCCAGCGAGGCTGTCGGCAGCCCCTGCTCCTCGCCGCCCTGGCTCTCGGGCACGCCTCCCCACTCGCTGCCCATGGTACCCTCCACAGGACAGCACCCAGTCGGACTAGCAGCTCAGGGCAGGAGTCCGACTTGTCCACCTGCTGCCGTCCAGTAGTTACCTCAGGGCGGAGCTGAGCGTCTCGCGACCCAGGCCCACCCTGTGGCTGGCCTTCCCTCAGCCAAGACACCAGGCTGAGCGTGTTTGCTACGGTGCTCCCGCCCACCAGGCCGGCTTCCGGCTATGGGCAACAGGCCTCTGCAGCATCCAGAACCATTGTCGGAATGCACAGATCGAACTGGGGGCCGGGCAAGGCAGAAGGGAATGCAGGGGCCACACTGGGTCCTACAGGGCTGGCATCAGACTGGCCTGGGCCCCGGGCCCTGGCTCCCCAGCCCAGGCAGAGGCTGTGCTGAATAACCACAGGAGCCGGAGGCACAGGACAAACACTCCAGCCCGGCCCGGCCCCCAGAAGGCCCCCTCGGCCCCTGCAGGGCTGCACGTGCTCACCCGTGGGATGGGGGGGGGGTGGCAGGTGGAGAGTTACTGCACAGCAGCCTCTCTTGCAAGAACCGGCAGGGGTGTGAAGCAAGTGTCAGGAGAGCGGAGGTGTGTGGGGTGAGGGGAGGTGTGTGGGGTGAGGGGAGGTGTGTGAGGTGAGGGGAGGTGTGTGGGGTGAGGGGAGGTGTTGAGGTTTAAGGGGAGGTGTGTGCCAGGCGAGGGCAGGTGTGAGGTGAGACTTACGTGGACAAGTGTGTGTGAGGCATGCTGTGTGCTGTGAAGTCTGTCTGGTGAGACGTGTGTGACCAGCTTTGTTTTGGAACCGAGCTGACCTGAAGCCAGTTGCCAGGATCTTTCTCCAGGTCTCCCAGGAGGGCCAGCGCACTTGGGCCGTCCTCCACTGCTCTCCCGGGTACATCAGCAGGGAGGCGGCTCTGAAGTGCAGCAGCCGGGACTCGAACTGGTTCCCACACTGGATGCTGGAAACACCACAGCACCGCCCTGCACACACATTTGTGTGGCAAAGTGTGAGATGAGACACACGGTAAGATGTGAGGGATGTGTGTGTTCTGCGTACACACACGGCCTCACGGGCCATCACATGCGTCGGGCCCTGCCTTCTCCCAGGCTGAGGGTGCATGGCCTCCCAGGGCAGGGGCCTGTGAGCCCCCCAGTGCGGAGCAGCCGAGCCCACAGCTCTGCACACCCCAAGCTTACCCATAGGCACTGGGTGGGCACCTCCTCAGGTCTCCCCTGTCAGAGAGGAAGGGGCTTGGAGAGGGAGTGGGGTGGGCCACTTTGGGGGCCAGAAGACCCTGGCACCCCCATGGCAGATGTCGCAGGGAGAATGGAGACCCAGCAGTGCAGATGCCGCCACGCTCCTCGGAGGAACATCCTGCCAAGACTTTAAAATAAGGGCTCCTTATCTGCAGGAAGACTTGACCATGAGCCAGTGACAAGAATGGGCTGGGACGCGGTGACGTGACCGTCTCGGCAGAGTATGGAAGGGGCAGGCAGGGTGTGGGCGGCCCACATGCGCCTCAGCGGGAATGGGGACAGGCCTGGCTGTCGCCTGCGGGGCGCCCGGCAGCCGGGAAGCACTGGCCGATAGCTGGGCCCTCGGAAAACCCTGGTCACACACGGGCGGCGGCTGGGAACTCGTCAGAAGCATGGAGGGACTTGTCCCCTGCCGCAGGGCCATGGCCAGCAATTCCCAGCATTTTACTCGATGTTATCACTGTGTAAGGAACATTCCAGAAGCAACATGCCTACTGTTTGTACAACAGGCAGCTTCTTTCCAAGCAGCACCGAGCCCTGCGGGCGCAGCTGCTGGGCCAAGTCAGGCCTGGGCTGAGCGGAGAGCCACACGCACATCCAGGTACCATCAGACCCCTGGTGCTTCCCATGACACACCTGGCAGCCAGAGCAACTGTGCGCTGGGTCCTGCCCGACCCCCACGGCAGTCCCGGGCAGCGGGGAAGATGACGACATGGGAGGACTCCACTGGCGGTGCTCGAGTCAGGCCTGGGCTGCCCGCTTCTCTGCCGGTGAAGTCACCAACTGCCTCACCCCTGTGCTGCAGGCGCTGCCAAAGCAGCAGTGCTTGGAGGACCCATGGGCACGGGCACCCAGGAGCTGTGTGCGCAAGGAGCTGCAGGAAGCCGGTCTGGGGAGAGGGTGTCAGACCCTGACTGGGGGACAGGAGAGACGTGGGGACCCAACACATGCTTGCCCTGTGCTGTGAGCCCCAAGGGGCTTTCCTCCCGGCCCCCACTCTGCCTGCACGCCCATGCTGAGGAGCAGGCCTGGTCCAAAAAGCACCGGTGCCCAAGGCCACCTCCCTAACCTCATGGCCACCAGGCTCCTCAGGAAACGCAGCCTGGGTGTGGGACCTGAGCCAGGCACCAGAAGAGCTGCAGGGCCGCAGCAAGTGGGGGCACCCTCTGCCCTGCCCAGCAGACAGGCTCTGCCCTGGGAGCCCCATGTCCAGCCAGGGAGTATGCCCACGGTCTCAAACCCATATTCTCTTCCAGCAATGGAGGTGTTCCTGGGCCCTGCCCCTTCAAGGCAGGCAGTGAGTGAGCACGCAGGACAGCACGGCTCTGGATATTCTGTTCTTTAGAAAAGGCACGCCGTAGCCCCGGGACCCCATGGACCCCCGCCCGGGCAGGCCCGCTGGGAGTGGACACGTGGGGGAGCACACTGTGCAGTGCAGACCCTGCCCAGCAACTGCTGAAATGTCCTCTGTGTCCACTTCCTGGTGGCTGTCCCTGCACAAAGGACCCGAGGGAGGCCCAGGCTCAGGCCCCAGGCGTCACGAGCGGTGGGCGTGGGCCAGTCCCACCGAGGTGGCCCTCAGAACAGGACGCGGCTTGGCAGCCGAGGACAATGACGGCAGCCACGGTGCTGACCTCTGCCCTGGGGCAGCTCCAGGAGAGGCTGAGCACGGACCCACGAGGACTCTGGGTGGCTGGGACGCCTGCCTGCCTGTGGGCTGGGGACAGTCCGGGCAGCCCACGGCCACACCCATCTCTTCACTGCAGTCGTGGGCTCAGCGCCAACAGCCTCACCAGTGGTTTCTGCTGACGCGGCAGGAACTGTGTCCCAGACGACCAGGCTTCCATGGTGAATGCAGATCGGTCCTGCCACAGGCAGCAGAGGACGGGCTGGAGCAGCCAGGCCGCGCGGTGTGTGCCCGGGTGCACGCGCCCATCAGTCCTCCAGGACCTCTACGTGTCTGTGCGCGCAGTGTTCCCGGGACGTGCGCTTGTGAGCACACGTGTGAGCGTGCGCTTCCTCTCCAGGCGTGGGCAGGTGCGTGCGTCCTGCAGAGCCCCACCACACTGGCCACACAGGTCACAGCTGGCCACTGTTCTCCACATGCATCTGCTGGACCAGCTGCCGCCCGATGGCAAGCAGGGGGCTGGCTCTGTAGGCTGGGCTGGCCAGCAGCTCCCGGAACCGGCTCTGTTCTTCGTCGCTACAAGAGTGGGGAACAGTGTCAGGAAGGGCAGGACGACCAGCCCTTAGCTGAGGGGCCGGGACAGGGCTCCAGCAACGCCAGCTCCCAGCCAGCTCCCAGCCAGCCCCAGGGACGATCCATCACGGCAGTGGACAGCAGAGGCCTGGGGCTCAGTGCGCTCACCCCGTGGAGGCTGGGAGGATGCAGGGAATGTCATAAAGCCGGGAGCTGGGAGGAGGAAGGCGGCCCGTGTGCCTGCAGACCGCGGCCTTACATAACCCCCTCCCCACCCCAGCAAGACTGAAATAGACCCACACAGGCTGTGAGTGGGAGGCTGCCAACAGGGGCGACTCGCGGCAGGCCAGGTGCCACGGGGTAGCTGGTGCTGCTCGACCCACGGCCGGCACGGGCCCACAGCCCAGCCACGATGCAGTTCATGAGCCCCGGGGTGGCCGGAACTCGCCAAGTGCCCATGTGTAAGTGGCAGCATGGTAGTCAGGTCAGTGGAGCCTGGAGGCCAAGGAAGGAACAGCATCAGCTGGGGCTGCATGCTCAGGTCACGCACAGGCAGGACGGCCACCCCGTCCCTGCAGTGCACCAAGCAGAGCGCCACCCCTGGCTCTGGGACGCAAAGCCCAGACGCGGGCTGAGCAAAGGCCCAAAGCTGGAAGACAACGCCGACTCGGCCTCAAGGAGCCCGGTGAGGAAATGGGTGATAAAATGCCAACAAGGGGGGCTGGTGCTGTGGCACAGCATGCTAACCCTCCACCTGCAGAACTGCTGCCAGTTCAGGTCCTTTCCAGCTCCCCGCCTGTGGCCTGGGAAAGCAGCAGAGGACAGTCCAGACAGATCCTGGGGACCTGCACCCGCGTGGGAGACCCTGAAGAAGCTCCTGGCTCCTGATCACTCAGCTCCGGCTGTCGCAGCAATTTGGCAAGTGAACCAACAGGTGGAAGATCTAGCCTCTCTGTCTCCCTCTCTCTTTTAGGTAAAAATAAATCAATCTTAAACAATAGTAAAATCCAGTAGGCGCAGATGCCCTGCAGAAGAGCCGACCACGCCGGTTAGCGCAGCCAGCAGAGCCGGGAAGCACAGCTGTCGCCTGTGACACGGGCATCCCCGCAGGTGCAGGTCCGAGCCCTGGCTGCTCCATTTCCAATCAGCTCCCTGCTTATGGCCAGGAGCCTCTTCCAGGTCTCGTGGCTCGCGGCACCGGGGCGCCTCTGCCCTGCTGTGGCAGCCATGTGTGGTGTGACTGCAGACAGAAGACTTACTATCTCTTGCAAAATAAATAAATGAATAAAAAAACAAGCATTTGGAGGCAAGCAGTGATCCTCTCGGTAACCCATGTGGAAAACTTGCCCTAGGTGCAGAAGCTAAACTACTGGGCCTGCCTGGGGTACAGGGTGGCTGAAGGCAGCCGCACAGGGGAGCGTGACGTCACATCGCGGGCAGGACGTAGGCAGTGTGACATCACACGGTGGGCAGGACACAGCAGTGTGACATCACATGACGGGCAGGGTTTGGGCAGTGTGACATCACACGTTGTATAGGACTTGAGCAGTATGACATCACACAGTGGACAGGGTTTAGGCAGTGACATCACACAGTGGGCAGGACATAGCAGTGTGACATCACATGATGGGCAGTGTGACGTCACACTGCGGGCAGGTGCGGTACCCGGGGGAGGAGGGGTGACTGTACTCACAGCAGCTGCTGCCTCTGGGCCGCACTCATCCGGCTGAGCTCAGCTGGCCGGGGCTTCCTGCTCTGTCTGCTGTGGACACACACAGGCCTGTCAGCAGACACACCCCTGTCCACACCACACAAGTCCCACACTGCTCGGCTGACAACCCTCTTCAGAGCTGCCCACGCTGCCTGGGCCCCATGTGACTTGGACAGCCGCGTCCAGACCAGCTCTCCACTGCCAAGGCACACCCCTGTCCAGACGAGCTCACACGCCCCACCTCTATTTTAACAGACAGGTCCCGTCCATGCTGCCTCCTGCTGTGGTGACAGCTGAGCCAGGAGCCAGTGCAGGGCTGTTTGGCAGGACAGGCTGTGCCCTGCCTCCAGCCATCATGCCACATCACGGTGGCCCCCTAATCGTGGTCACTGCTCCCTGCTTCCCAGACTCCCCCGCACAGCACCGGGCCTGCCCACAGATACGTCGGAGAGCCCGTCTGCTCAGCACACGGGGAGCTCTGGCTCCACAGGTCAGCCCGACAGGCTGTCTACTGTGGCAGGGCCCAGGCCAGGTAGCCTACCCGCAGGCCTGGGCAGTGAGACAGCCCGTGGCGAGGAGGGTCAGAAAGTGCAGCAAACTACCCCGGCCTCGGGCCACCCGGCCTCGGCTCCCAGCACCCCGGCCTCGGCCTCGGCCCACCCGGCCTCGGCTCCCAGCACCCCGGCCTCGGGCCCACCCGGCCTCGGCTCCCAGCACCCCGGCCCCGGCCTCGGGCCACCCGGCCTCGGCTCCCAGCACCCCGGCCTCGGGCCCACCCGGCCTCGGCTCCCAGCACCCCGGCCCCGGCCTCGGCCCACCTGGCCTCGGCTCCCAGCACCCCGGCCTCGGGCCCACCCGGCCTCGGCTCCCAGCACCCCGGCCTCGGCCTCGGCCCACCTGGCCTCGGCTCCCAGCACCCCGGCCTCGGGCCACCCGGCCTCGGCTCCCAGCACCCCGGCCTCGGGCCCACCCGGCCTCGGCTCCCAGCACCCCGGCCTCGGCCTCGGCCCACCTGGCCTCGGCTCCCAGCACCCCGGCCTCGGGCCCACCCTGCCTCGGCTCCCAGTGCCCCGGCCTCGGGCCCACCCGGCCACACTCCCTCAGCAGTCAGCCCCGAGGTGACGTGGGTCCCACACCACACAGGGCTGGTCCCCAGAAACAGAGGAGGGGCAACACGATGGCCTCCCAGAGGCCACAGCCCGTCAGCGGGCCGACTGCTACGGGTCCGGGCGTCAGCGGGCCGACTGCTACGGGGCAGGTCTGGGCGGGCGGCACCGAGACACTCTGAGAGCAGTGCCCGGCTGGCCGCAGCTTTGCCCCACGTCCTCGAGGCCATCACACCCTGACGAGGATTCCGCATGGGATGGGTCAGGTTGGGGCAGAGTGAGGAGCCCGGACGGCTGCACACCTGTGACTACGGCGTGGGAAAGGGAGTGGGAGCCATCGGGCAGAGCGCCCCGTGGCCAGCGACAGGATGGAGGAGGCTGGCTCCCAGCCCGGAGTGTGAGATGGATACCCACGGGGCCACAGGCACGAATCAACGATTGACACACAAGTGAGGGACGAACAACACCCACGGGGCCACAGGCGCGAACAGACTGACAGACACGGGGACTAGCGGCTTCTGTGGATGCCACGTGGCATTGCCCTCCGCCACCAGTGGGGACTGCGTGTGGTTCCTTCTCCCCCAGACAGCACTGTAGGGGGAACCCACAGAGCCACCCAGTGGGGCGGGGAGGGAGTCGGGGTTAGCAGCCCAGGGCCCCAGAGGTCACCCTGGAAATGGCCGCTGGGCCGGGGCTTCCTCCCACCTCCCCCCAGGGGACACAGCAGACACACTCCTGCCACGCGGCGAGCAGCTGCCAGCTGCCCGGCCACTGGGGACAGGGGAGCTGCACACCGGCCCCAGCCTAGGGGACCCTGGGGCACGTAAGGGTCCCAGGGGATCCCAGGCAAGGGGTGTGTTGGGGAGCTGCCCACTGCAGCGCCGTTCCCAGCCATGGCACTCGGCGCAGCAAGGAGGGAGGTATGTGGCTCCTGCAGGAGGGAGCGCCGATTCCCGTGGGAACATCCCAGCAGCCAGGGAGGCAGCGCCCAGCCCTGCACGTCCCTCCTCGAGCCAGACAATTCCGTTCACGCAGCCTCTCCCGTCATTTTTCAGACGAGAAAACTTAAATGGAGAAAAGACCCCTGACCGGGGCACATTTTTGCTCGGGAACCAGGAATGGAATCTGCAGGGCTGGCTCGTCAGCATCCGGCCACGCAGCCGCCGGGGCCTTCTGCCTGGGCGACCCTGCCCACAACCCCTGCTTTCTCCACGGGATTCAGTACAAGACTTGGTGTAAGGCAAAACGGGAGGTGGCATAAACAGCTGCCAAAGGCCCAGCAACTGGGAGGGCAGCGAGCAGCAAGTCTGTCCCTCTCCCTGCGGGGCCAGGTGCCCCTGCACAGGCTGGCTTCGGTACCTCAGTGGGTACAGGTGCCAGGCCCCCCTCACATGGCTCACCAGCCCAGTGGGGAGGCAAGCACACTGCAGCCACAGGGTGCAGGAGCGTGGGGGGCGCCTGGGGGCACGGGGTGCGTGGGGCACCTGGGGGGTCTCTCAGGGCAGGGGTAGCCACGGGAGCTGTCAGAGCCTGCCCTACCCAAGGAGGAGCAGGTGGGGAGGGCGTGTGTACAACAGGACTGGCCCCTCAGGGCAGCGGGCCAAGTGCTGCTAACACCTGCTGACCGCAGGGTAGCTCCAAGGGCACAAAGACCTGCGTCCGGCACGGCTGAGGCACGGGCCCCATCTCCCCCACCTCCTCCCCACCCATGCACGTGGCCTGGGGACAGCCCGTCCCGGGCACTTACCCTCTGGCCCGTGGCCGGCTGCCGGCTTGCAGCTCCTGCAGCGTGGGCAAGGCGTCCCTCAGCGGGTGCAGGTCCCCCACCACCACAGTGGCCCGGCGCTTCCGCTCCTCACGGCGCTTCTGCTCGGCCAGCTTGATTGCTTCAATTTCTGTGGCAGGCATGGGGTTGGAGACAGAAGCGGGCTTCAGTCAGACGCCGGGCCCCGGACCGAGCCTCGGGGACAAAGTGGGTCCCCACCTGGGGAGGGGGTGGCAGCGTGGGGCACGGTGGGTGTTCAACCCAGGAGTTCTGATGCTGTCCTCCACAGCACGGTTCACACTGCCGACAGGGGCCCAGGGAAGGCCATCCGTCCTCCAGGGAGGCAGCGGGCACTGCCGGTCCCAGCCCTCACTGCTGGACTGTGTGACACAGGCACATCCAAACCGCAAGACCCAGGGCAGACACTGCCCCAGGGCTCCGAAGACAAGCCAGGCCAATCCCACTGGGCAAGCCGCTGAGGAGCCAGGAGGCGCACCCCGAGTCAGGCCTGAGGAGCCGGGAGGAGCACCCCGAGTCAGGCCCGAGGAGCCGGGAGACGCACCCCGAGTCAGGCCCGAGGAGCGGGGAGACGCACCCCGAGTCAGGCCCGAGGAGCGGGGAGACGCACCCCGAGTCAGGCCCGAGGAGCGGGGAGACGCACCCCGAGTCAGGCTTGAGGAGCCGGGAGGCGCACCCCGAGTCAGGCCTGAGGAGCGGGGAGGCGCACCCCGAGTCAGGCCCGAGGAGCGGGGAGGCGCACCCCGAGTCAGGCCCGAGGAGCGGGGAGGCGCACCCCGAGTCAGGCCCGAGGAGCCAGGAGGCGCACCCCGAGTCAGGCCTGAGGAGCTGGGAGGTGCACCCCGAGTCAGGCCTGAGGAGCCGGGAGGCGCACCCCGAGTCAGGCCTGAGGAGCCGGGAGGAGCACCCCGAGTCAGGCCTGAGGAGCCAGGGAGATGCACCCCGAGTCAGGCCTGAGGAGCCGGGAGGTGCACCCCGAGTCAGGCCTGAGGAGCCTGGAGGTGCACCCTGAGTCAGGCCCGGGACCTACACAGAAGGGCCTCTTCCTACCAAGATTTATCAAGTGACAGTGCTGGGGCCCCAGGCCGGCAGGTGGAGGCATAAAAGCCAAAGGACCAGAAAATGGCAGCCCAGAGGGCCCAGCAGGTGACCCATGACGGCCCAGGACACCCACACTACAGAGGGTTTGGAATCAAGGCTGCAGCTGAGCAGTCACCACGGAGGGATACAGCAGGTGACCCATGGTGGCCCAGGACACCCACACCAGACAGGCCCTGGGGTCCAGGCCACAGCCGAGCAGTCACCATGGAGGGATCCAGAAAATTCATGACCCGCTCACTATAGAAATGACAATGAAGCCAGAGGGCAGTCCTTCAAGCAAGTCCAGAGGAGACGTCAGGCATGTGTGACGTCAGACAAGGACACAGCGCCAGCGGCCTGGCGGCCCCACGAGTGGCAGGCCCAGCCACTCGGGCTGCGGCTGCTGCTTTCCCAGGTGCACTGCAGGGAGCAGGGCTGGAAGTGGAGCAGTGGGCACTCATAAGGGATGCCAGCATTCAGGTGGCGCTTAAAGCACTGTGTCACACTGCCAGCCCAACAGCAGTCTGAACAGCAACTTCTTAGTTTTAAAGACTAAATGTGTAATGACAATTTGAAAAAAGTCTCACAGGAACAGCAAATACCTTACAAGAACAAGCTTCCTGGGGATGAAGTGGATTCTGGGTGGCACAGGTGGGCACACGCAGTGGGAGCTGGCACTGCGGCCGAGGGAGCAAGGCTGCAGCCTGCGACGGCCACTTCCCACCCGACTCTGCTAACGCGTCAGGGAAAACAGCTCCAGACGGTCCAAGTGCCTGGGCCCCACTCGTACTGGCTCAGGACCAGCCCTGACTCTGCGCCCACTGGGGAGTGAACCAGCAGACGGAAGACCTCTCTGGCTCTCCCCTCTAATTCTGCCTGGAAGGAGCCTTCCCCAGGCTTCGGCGCTGCACGTGAGGGGAGTCAGGCTGATGTGCAGCGGCCACCTTCAGCTTCCTCAGCAAGCAGAAAGCGGTCAGCCAAAGCAGGTGGCTGGGGAGGCCTCCAGGAGAGGGAGGCCGGGTCACAGCACAGGTGCTTGTCGGGAACGCTCCACACACAGAAAAAAGACCCTTCTGGAAACTGACAGAGCCTACAAGAACAGAACCAGGATTGACGCAGCACTTCAACAAGGTCTAGGGGCCCACCCAGGTCAGGGTTGGCACATGGCAGGGCAGCGAGGTCACCACCCAGCATGCCCATCTCCCATCCAAGGTCAGGGTGGGCACGTGGCAGGGCAGCGAGGTCACCACCCAGCATGCCCATCTCCCATCCAAGGTCAGGGTGGGCACGTGGCAGGGCAGCGAGGTCACCGCCCAGCACGCCCATCTCCCACACTGCAGTGCTGGCTCAGGCTGAGCTCTGCTCCCCGCCCAGCTTCCTGCAGAGGCACTCCTGGGGGGAAGCTGGTAACGCCTCAAGCACTGGGGCACTTGCCCTACCCGGAATGCCTGGCAGAGCTCCTGGCACCTGGCCCAGCCTGCTGCTCCTGCTCTGCTCGCAGCTGAACACGAGGAAACGACACAGCAGCCTCAGCACTAATTCTGACCACAAACGGTAATCCAGCATGATAAACGCCGGGACGACCAGGTTTTTAGGAGAGAAATTCGTTTAGCAAAATGCTTTTATGATTCAGGACTAGACAACAGGATACACAAGCAATTAAAAATTTCTCAAAATTCCACTCCCAAGACCTCGGCTATGGCAGTGGGGAAAGGCTGTGCGTGGCTGGTCAGCCTGGCTGCCCCGCTGCCCCGCCAGGCCCAGCCATCACGGCCTCGGGGGGAGCCAGCAGGCAGACATCCTTCGCTCCTGTCACACTGCCTTTCAAAGAAACAATCAACCTTCAACGAAACGAAGAGGTGCTTGCTGTTTTGCAGGGCTTTCCCTGTTCTCCAAAAATGAGGACAATGAAGAGCAAGGTCACAGTTCAGGAGAAAATGTTTCCGACACACATACCTGACCGAGAAGCGGTCTCCAGGGCGCAACATTCAAAGAGCGACCCTGTGAAAGTGAAGCCAGCCAAGGGCCCATGCCACGCTGGGACGCCCAGACAGCACAGCTGGGAACCGCGTGCGGCTGTGGCAGCCGGTTCTCACACCCCGCTGGCAGCAGCACAGACGGGCAAGCACTTCAGAAAGTGTCTGGCGTCCTTCTAAAACTAAACACGCACCTGCCCTCTGACCCCGCGTTCCATTCCCAAGTGCTCACCGCGGAGACGCCAGGACACATCCCAGGCAGGCATTTCACAGCGGCTAAACATGGACAGAGCCCACAGGCCGCTCAGGGGGACACGCAGCCTGCGTGCATTGCAGAAGCATGACGTGGGCCTGTTCCCTCCACAGCACGGGTCCTCGGCACAGGGCCAGCCCAGGTGCCCACGTCAGGCTTGCGTCACACTGCAGGTCAACTCAGCCTTGGAGAGGAGGCGCGAGACAGCAGCCGTGGAGCCTGGGTCCAGGGGAGTGCGCCTGCGCACGGTGACACTGGAACCACAAAAACGCACAGATGGGGGCAGACGGGGGCAGGCCGGGGCAGGCCGGGGCAGACGGCCCGGTCAGGAGCCGCACAGACCCCGGGTGCTCTCTGCAGCGTCCTCCCCCTTTCCCAGTCAGGTCCCGTGCTAAGTCTAAGGGAGACACACGCGACATAGCTACAGCTGCCACAGACCACCCCACAGCCTGCACCTGCTAAACCAAGCATACGCGGAGGCGTGCAGCTGCACTGGTAAGCCACTGAGCCCCCCCAAAAGCCCGAGAAAGGTAGGGACCAGGTCACAGAACAAAATCCGACAGCAGAGTTCTGGAATGAAAGGCCAAACTCTCCCATCCTCCTAAGCACCAGGGTGGGAGGTGGCAGCAGACACAGGGGTCCTGCAAAACTGGAGGAACCAGGTCATTTTCCAGAAAGCTGAGAGGCGGGAAGCAGCTGCAGGCGTTGGAGCCACGACCTGGCGTGCTGAGCCCTGAGCTCCAAAGAGCTCCCCGCCCCGCTCCAGGCACAGCCCAGACCTGAGGATGGGAGGGGAGCGGCGGACTGCCCTGACAACATGCCCTTGGGAGCACACACTCCTCAAAGCCACGGGAAACCAGTCACGTCTGACCCCGAGGGGGCGGGAAGCAGGAATCTGCAGAGTCCCCGTGAGAACCAACACGGGAGGGTCTCAAAGCCTCCAGAGAGGAGACCGTGGCAGGCGTGCCCAGGACACAGCTCTATGCAGCTCACACAGGCGGGCTGCGTTGACGCTGCCATCAGCCGCGTGCCTCCGTGGTCCCTTGTCCTGGCAGCTCACGTCTGCACGCCCCAGCTCGCGGGCACACTCACTCTGCAGCCAGCGCTGGCGCCGCAGCTTCAGCCTCTCCTTCTTGGGCAGGATGGTCTTGACCTCGGCACCTGCGGGCAGAGAGCGCTGGGTGAGGACAGGTGCAGACCATGCCAGCAGCTACGTCGCCTTGCCCACCCGACACAGGCATCCCATATACTTCAATGCCTCCATGGTCACGGTCTGCCCACTGTCCATCGGAAGGCCTCCCGTGCTGCTGAGGAGGTGGTCACGACTCACCCCCAAACCTCACAGGGGTAGCCAGAGGAGACAGCAACCCTGTGACAGGGCTGGCCTGGCCTCCTGCGATGCACACAAGCAGGCGCCAGCACGGCAGCCCACGGGAGCCCCTCTGGTCGGGTGCCCTCCTGCGGGGGCTAAGGCCTACCCTGTGCACAGTGCCTACACGGGCTGTATGGTCCACGCTGAGGCCCTGGGGCAGGCAACTGCAGGGAGGGACAGGCACCTGAGGTCTCCCGCCATGGGGAGCTGGGGGCAGAGGCCGCGACCACCACGGCAGCTCAGTCTTAGGTGCCCAGGTGGACAGAGCATCGCCTGGGCAACCCCTATCCCTGAGCTCTCTCTGGCACAGGGAAGCTGCCGGCCTTGGTGAGCCCAGATTTTCTGCAGTGGCCTCTTGTTCCACAGTGCCACTCTAAGGCTCCTGGGCCACACCCCAGGGACCTCACAGTAAAGGTCCCTTTAAGGACTTTTCCCCGGACATAGAGCACACACGGCACTGTGGCCGTGCCTACAACTTTCCAGGATGCCCAGAAACATTCGCACTGCAGATCCTGCATGCCAGGGCCCCAGGGCAGGCCTCGCCCAAAGACCCACCTGCCCACGTGCAGACCTGGACGCCAGGACCACCAGCTGCATCCTCCACGGTGACCTCAGTGAGCCTGTTCCATGCTAACAGGACACTCCAAGTGTTGGCAGAAATGACCAGACACAGGCCCAGCTGGCCATCCTGCACTGGCCAGCCGGGTGCCAGCTGGCACCTCAGGCAGCTCCGTGATGGCCTGTGAGGACAGCCACTGCTCAAACAGACTGGAGCCAGCCAGGGGACACAGGCCGTGAGGATGAGGACGGGGAGGACAAATGGCAGCAGGACCAGGGCCTTTTCACACAGAGACCTAGAGTGTCCAGTCCCGGGGTGGACAACAGTGAGGTCCCCATGCACTGCGGGAGCAGCTGCACAGACCCAGAGACCACTGGCGTCAGTGCTGCAGATCCTCGCTCCCTGGGGAGTGACCCTCAGGCTCCCTGCTGCTGGCCTGGCATGGGGGGGAGGGGAGCAGAGCTGCACCAGGAGCAGGTGTGTGCACATGGGCATGTCCACATGTGGGCACACACTGCTGCCAGCCAGTCTGCCTCCAGTGTGCCCCAGCAGAGGGCATGACGTCATGGCAAGTGCCGTAATCTCCCCAGGGGCATTCATGTGAAAGACCCGTCCTGGCTGGCACCTGAGGACTGAGGCTCCGGCCACAGGAAGCAGCTCCATCAGAACAGCCTGCTCAGCATCCCCAGAGGAGGCAGACACCCCGAGCCCACCATCCCCGGGCCGGCCCTGCCCTGGCTCCCGACAGGACCGGGAGGGGCTGCAATCCCTCACAGACACACCCGGGGTGAGCCAACAAGGAGCCCAGGAGGGTAACCAGGGGGCCGGGCACTGTCTTCAGGCTGGCCACATACTGACGAGCAGGACACAGCTTTCTCTGGCAACCGTGGAGCTTATCGCCTGCAACTTTGGAATTCTCTCAAGACAAAGGCCCCAAGGCCAACCACGCAGACCCCGGGTCAACCTGGACCGCACTGGAATGAAGACAACGCGGGGGGCCTGCCCAGCCCGGCCCCAGGGGGCTCTACAGCGCCCATCGCCATGGCATCAGGGAAACAGGAAGCAAACAGGCCATTCCCGTCAGAGCAGAGGGTCTGGAATGCCTGGAACTGCTGGCAGCAGGCCCTGCGAACCACGGAGGGCTGCCCTCGCCGGGACCCGCTGTCGCCTCTCCCGGGTTTACCACGGCCACTGACGGACCAGGTGCAGGGCAGGAGCTTCGAGACGGCCTGTGTCCTGCTGGCCCTGGCCCCTGCCCCGCAAGCACAGAGAGGCACTGAGGCCCAGCACTGCATGGCCCCAGGCAGGTGCCCCTCCCCCGAGCAGGGCCTGCAGCCCAGCAGGCAGAGGGCTCCCTCGGGGGGCAGTGTCCAGGCCCTGTCCAGACCACAGCTCAACACGCTCGCCCCACACCCCTGGGGACTCTGGGAGACAAGGGACAAGCATTTCTGATGAGTAACGACGTGACAGCAGCGACGGTCATGCTCTGTCAGCGACCGCAGCCCAGGGTGGGTGACGGAAGGCCAGGGAACTCACAACCCTGCCAGCAGTTGCGCAAGGAGAGCAGGATGGCCCAGGACCTACGGTGAAGCCCAGCCTACCCACAGCCCGAGGGCCACGACCCTACACCCCACCCTCCTAGCGCCCAGCTCAGCCTCTGCTAGGACGCCTCAATGGCGCCCCCTTCCGGCCTGAGCAGTCGCCCAGCGCTCACAGCACAAGGACAAGAGCAAGTCCTCCAGGCTGAACCCCAAGAGCCCCAGGCACAAGAGGGGCAAGCCACAGGAAGGCATCCCCTAGCTCTTCCCGCACACGGCCTGCAGCCCACCAGAAGGCCCTGGCCAGGATGGCAGCAACTGCCCAGGACTGCTGAGCCAGGTCAGGGCACGAGGCTGCCACAGCTCACTGCCCTGCACTGGGACACAGGACAGGGACAATGCACGGAATGTCATGACTGGCTCATCCTCATGCCAGCACCCCGGCAGACCCTCAGCCCACTTTCTGCAGGTGGCCCCTTGAGCCAACTCATTCAAGCAGGAATGAGAGCAGAACCAAGACAGAAGCGCCACGGACATGAGGCGCTTTCCGCTGGCTGGACGCTAGCAGCCTCTGCCAGTGACAAAGCCACATCCGTCCCACAGCCCGGAAGGGGCAAGCAGGGCCAGCACGTGCTGCCACCACACGCTCCCACAGGGCACCCGGCGCATGACAACACCTAGTGACACGAGAGGCGCCCTCACACCTGTGCAGGGCAGGGCATGTTGGCACAGGCAGTCTCCACATGTGGCTTTCACACACTCTGCCCACCTTGCCAACTGTGGGGTGGCAGGGGATTCTCAGCCCCTGCGGGGGAGCTGGTACAAGTGCAATGGAGGGAGCTGGATCCCCCAGCCTCTGCCATCATCTGCTCACCCCCCTCAGCTTGCACCCCTTTAAAGGAAAACCCCAAACACGCTTAGCAGCAGAGCAGCCAACCCTCACCCAGAGCCCAGAGGGAGCTGAGACACCCACTACTCGCACAGCGACTGGTCCCCCATGCACCCACGCACGCACCCCAGGCGCCGGCCAGCACAGCTCAGGCGCCAAGCCCGCAGGCCCTTGGCACATCGCAAACCTATGGTCGCAGAGCTGGGCATGAGGGGAGGGGCCTGAACCCCGGTGCCCCACCCTGCTGCCATCCTCTGCCATCCCACTCCATCTCCTGCTGAGCAGGTGCAGGGCAGGGCACAGTGTCCGCTCTGCACCACACGCGGACGAGGCAGATGGCGCCCAGCGGCTACTGAGGACCCTCAGCCTTAGAGGCCAGTGAAAGCCAGAGCCCCCACAGTGCTGCCCTGGGACGGCCTCACCCCCAGGGCAGCAGGCAGGGCCCTACCACAAGGCAGAGCCCGGCACAGAGAGCCCGGCGAGCTGCACACACAGGAAACACAGTCCCACGCTGACCTCAGCAGGCCTGGCAGCGCCCTCACTCCTGGTGAGCAGACATGCCAGGAGCAGACCAGAACCCACTTTGGGCTGCCCGTCTCGCTCTCATGCTGAGGGCGAGCATGGACACACAGGGCAGAGAAACCACTGCATGGCAAGTCCGCTGAAGCCCGCAGGCTGCCCCTGCTCTGAGCACCGAGACGCCTCGGCACCTTGCTGTGGCCCAGGCAGCACCTCTGAGCAGCACCACATGGGCCTGCACCCTTCCCGCCCGCCACCACGTCCCCTGCTGAGGCACAGGACAAGCAGACGGCCTTTGCAGGACACTGCCCGCCAGCTCCACAAACAGCACAACGATGCAGTGAGCCTTACACAGCTGCAGCCGCTGCGTCCACAGCGCTGGGGCAGAAACAGCAGCCACACGGTCAGCCCACGTCTCCTGCCAGGCTTCCCCGGCGGGAGGGCATCCAAAGCAAGAGACACAGATGTGCCCGGGCAAGGACAGATTCCAGGAAGAACCACACAGCCCAAGAGTCCACCTGGCCCAGAGCCTCACTGGGGACAGCAGAGCAGAGCACGGCACACAGGCCTGCCCCAGCACAGGGCAGAAGCCCAGAGCCGATCCCCAGTGACTGGGCAGAAAGTTCCAGAAAACAATCCCAGAAGCAGGTCCAATATCACACCTGGAACAGCAGCTCTAAGGAAAGTGAAGTAGAGACACAAGCCCCATGGGGGACGGTGGGCACGGGGACCTCAGCCAGGGCCCCATGGGGGACGGTGGGCACGGGGACCTCAGCCAGGGCCCCACGGGGGACGGTGGGCACATGAGCATATGCAAGCCCCACACTGGGGCATGACCTCAGGGTCAGCATGCAGCACCCAGAACCATGTGTGTCCAGGGACACTCCTAGACTAACAGTGGCAAGCGCTCTTGGGACAGCTGCTTCTGACAGAACAGGAAGTGTCCACAAAACGAGGCCAGTGGACAATGTGTCTGTGGTCAGCAGACAGAACACCCACCCAGTGTCACCTGTGCAGCCAGGGCTGAGGCTTTACCTGCCTCTTCCAGAGCAGCAGCAGGACGAGGGGACGTCCAGCTGGCCCAGAGGCGGTCCAGGCTGGGGACTCTGCCTGCACCCAGGGCATCCCTAACCTCCACGAGCCACGAGAATGTGGCCACGGCTCAGCAGAGCAGCGGGCAGCTCGCACCTCTTCTGTACCCCCCGCCCCGCCCACCCTTTCGAGACCCTGCGTCCAGCAGTGACTTCCATCCGATGATGGCCAAGCTCCCGTGCTGTCTGGAGCACGTTGGGGTCACCACATGAGCTCCATTCAGGGATGCATTCGCCCTTGTCACTCATGTAGGTCCAAGACCACCCTTCTCCACTGCAGGATATGCTGCGATGGGGCATTCGCTGGAGAAGCCACACACAGACACAGCTGTGCAAGGGCTCCACTCCCGGCCTGCTCAGCAGAGGCGCCCACCCCCTGCAGCAGACATAGCCGTGCAAGGGGCTCCACTCCCGGCCTGCTCAGCAGAGGCGCCCACCCCCTGCAGCAGACACAGCCATGCAAGGGGCTCCACTCCCGGCCTGCTCAGCAGAGGCGCCCACCCCCTGCAGCACAAGGCCGTCAGCTGTACCAGGAGATCCGCACAGCCCCTGGGCGTATGGACACAGTGGGCACACACCCCGTGGTCTCTGCCATGCCTGACTTCCCCACTGTGGACAGGGGTCTCTAGGGTTAACTCTTAGAAGCATCTAAAGGCAGCCCCCTGCCTTCCACCCCAAATCTGTGTGCAGTGCACACAGTGGCCGAGTCTCCCTCCTGCAAGATAGCCCAGCCTGGCTCGGTCCAGCCTGTGGCACATGAGAATGCAGTTCTGCTGCCCTCTGCCGGGAGGCCCAGGAATAGTCAGGGTCACGGGTGGGGCTCTGTCCCCTAGCCCAGCCTGGCCACACACCCAAGCAAAGTGTCAATGGCAGCAGTGCCGGCCTCACGTTCTTCGCTCCTTCTCACAGGGACACAGGCCAGCCGCCAGGTGCTTGTCACAGGCTTATCTGCTGGGCCCAGAGCTGGAGGTCACACTGTCTTGTGCCACCCAAGGGGCACAGCCACCATCCAGTGGCCGTCTGCTGGGCCACAGCGCTCCACACTGGCTCTGGCACCAAGTACAGAGGAGAGCATGCTACAGGTGCTGCTCACCAACAGTGAGCCTGTCCCGTGTGGATCTACCCCCACAGCAGGGTTCCGGGGTGAAGGGGCAGCCTTTAGGAACAAGGAGCGGGGCTGCAGTGAGGTGAATGGGGCAGGAAGGAGGACAAGGCGTCACAGAGGCAGACAGTGAGAGCAGAGATAAACAGCTGCTGTCCAGACCGGCTGAGCCCCAAGGCCCTGCGCGCGCACACACACACACACACACACACACACACACACTCTCCACGGCAGTGTGCGGGGAGCCCAAGACGGCTGAGTCCCAAGGCCCTGCGCACACACACACACACACACACTCCACTGCAGAGTGCGGGGAGCCCAGGCCGGCTGAGCCCCAAGGCCCTGCACACGTGCACACACACACACACACACACACACACACACACACACACACACACTCCACTGCAGAGTGTGGGGAGCCCAGGCCAGCTGAGCCCCAAGGCCCTGCACACACACACACACACACACACACACACACACACACACACACTCCACTGCAGAGTGTGGGGAGCCCAGGCCAGCTGAGCCCCAAGGCCCTGCACACACACACACACACACTCCATGGCAGTGTGAGAGGGTGGTTTGCGTGCACCCCGGGGCAGTGTGAGAGGGTGGTGGGCGTCCACCCCAGGGCTGCGTGTGTGAAGGTGGTGGGCGTGCACCCCGGGGCTGCGTGTGTGAGGGTGGTTTGCGTGCACCCCGGGGCTGCGTGTGTGAGGGTGGTGGGCGTGCACCCCGGGGCAGTGTGTGTGAGGGTGGTGGGCGTGCACCCCAAGGCAGTGTGAGAGGGTGGTTTGCGTGCACCCTGGGGGCAGTGTGTGTGAGGGTGGTGGGCGTGCACCCCAGGCTTCGTGTGAGAGGGTGGTGGGTGTGCACCCCAAGGCAGTGTGAGAGGGTGGTTTGCGTGCACCCCGGGGCAGTGTGAGAGGGTGGTGGGCGTCCACCCCAGGGCTGCGTGTGTGAAGGTGGTGGGCGTGCACCCCGGGGGCAGTGTGTGTGAGGGTGGTGGGCGTGCACCCCGGGCTACGTGTGTGAGGGTGGTGGGCGTGCACCCCAGAGCAGTGTGTGTGAGGGTGGTGGGCGTGCACCCCGGGGCAGTGTGAGAGGGTGGTGGGCGTGCACCCTGGGGGCAGTGTGAGAGGGTGGTTTGCGTGCACCCCGGGGGCTGCGTGTGTGAGGGTGGTGGGCGTGCACCCCAGGCTGTGTGAGAGGGTGGTGGGTGTGCACCCCAAGGCAGTGTGTGTGAAGGTGGTGGGCGTGCACCCCGGGGCAGTGTGTGTGAAGGTGGTGGGCGTGCACCCCGGGGCAGTGTGTGTGAAGGTGGTGGGTGTGCACCCCGGGGCAGTGTGTGTGAAGGTGGTGGGTGTGCACCCCAGAGCAGTGTGTGTGAGGGTGGTGGGCGTGCACCCTGGGGCAGTGTGAGAGGGTGGTGGGCGTGCACCCCGGGGCAGTGTGAGAGGGTGTTGGGTGTGCACCCCGGGGCAGTGTGCGTGAAGGTGGTGGGCGTGCACCCTGGGGCAGTGTGAGAGGTTGGTGGGCGTGCACCCCGGGGCAGTGTGTGTGAAGGTGGTGGGCGTGCACCCCGGGGCAGTGTGTGTGAAGGTGGTGGGTGTGCACCCCAGAGCAGTGTGTGTGAGGGTGGTGGGCGTGCACCCTGGGGCAGTGTGAGAGGGTGGTGGGCGTGCACCCCGGGGCAGTGTGAGAGGGTGGTGGGCGTGCACCCCAAGGCAGTGTGAGAGGGTGGTGGGTGTGCACCCCGGGGCAGTGTGCGTGAAGGTGGTGGGCGTGCACCCCGGGGCAGTGTGTGTGAAGGTGGTGGGTGTGCACCCCGGGGCAGTGTGTGTGAAGGTGGTGGGTGTGCACCCCGGGGCAGTGTGTGTGAAGGTGGTGGGTGTGCACCCCGGGGCAGTGTGTGTGAAGGTGGTGGGCGTGCACCCCGGGGCAGTGTGAGAGGGTGGTGGGCGTGCACCCCGGGGCAGTGTGAGAGGGTGGTGGGCGTGCACCCCGGGGCAGTGTGAGAGGGTGGTGGGCGTGCACCCCGGGGCAGTGTGAGAGGGTGGTGGGTGTGCACCCCGGGGCAGTGTGAGAGGGTGGTGGGTGTGCACCCCGGGGCAGTGTGCGTGAAGGTGGTGGGTGTGCACCCCGGGGCAGTGTATGTGAAGGTGGTGGGCGTGCACCCCGGGGCAGTGTGAGAGGGTGGTGGGCGTGCACCCCGGGGCTGCATGTGTGAGGGTGGTGGGCGTGCACCCCAGGAGTGGCTGCTCCCTATCCAACCTGGGTGGACATGGAAGCCCGGGTGTCGGGGTATACACTGTGCCTGGTGGTTAAGGTGCCAGCAGGACCCCAGGACTCCATAATGGAGGGCTGGCGCCCAGGCCCAGTCAGCTCCCAATCCAGCGTCCTGCTGTGTGCACCTCAAGGAGCTCCCAGGACGGCTCCCATGGCTAGGCCCCATCACCCGGGGAAACCTCCCCCGAGCCCCCAGCTCCCACGCCCTGCTCGGGCTGTGGCAGGTCTGTGGGCCGTGAACACGTGGGCAGGGACTCTGTCTCAAAAATAAGGAAAAAAAGACATTGGCTGAGTCAGATACCAAGCCCAACCTAGAACAACCAGCTAGTTCCCTATCACCCACGCGAGGGAGAGGACGGGCAGTGCTGTGTGTGTCCTGGAGAACAGCCAGAGCCCCACGTGCTCACGGAGGCCCAAGGAGGGTACCCCTACAAACTGACCCTCAGAAATGGAACTCTGATGGGATGCTACGAAGCTGGCAACTGCACGTCACTGCACACTAGTGTGCAGGGCGCCGGTTCTAATCCCAGCAGCTCCACTTCCCAGCCAACTCCCTGCTTGTGGCCTGGGAAAGCAGTCGAGGACGGCCCACAGCCTTGGGACCCTGCACCCGTGTGGGAGACCCGGAAGAGGCTCCTGGCTTTGGATCGGGGCAGCTCTGACCACTGCAGTCACTTGGGGAGTGAATCAGCGGACAGATCTTTCTGTGACCCGGCCTCTCAAGTTAGGCTGCCCTGCACCCCGAGCCCCTGGCCTCACCTCTCCGCACGGACACCACACTCCTCTGGTCCATCTCCAGGCTCTGCACCAGCACGCTGGGCTCTATCCTGGTCTTGGCGAAGATGTCGGTGTGGACAAACGCCCAGTCCTGAGTGAGGTGAGAGCAGGCCCTGTGATGCCAGCTCTGCAGGTTCGAAGCCAGCGTCCCTCCCAGGGCCACACCAGTAGCCTCTGTCCTGCCTCAGGTCGCCAGGTGGGCTACCCCACGCTGGCTATCCCCAACCCCTGCTGACCCCCCACCCAGCCCGGCTGACCCCTTTGCCCCCAACCCCAGCTGTCCAATCACCCACCCCGGCCGACCCCCCCCACCCCGGCTGACCCCCCCCACCCCGGCCGGCCTCCCCCACCCCGCTGTCCCCCCACCACCCCGGCCGACCCTCCCCCACCCCGGCCGACCCTCCCCCACCCCGGCCGACCCCGGGGCCCCTCGGCGCCTCCAGCCACGCGGGGAGACCCCGCCGCCCTCGGCCGCTCACCTTGCCCCCGGCTCCGCCCGCCGACACCGGCGGGAGCGCCGTCTCCGGGGCGGGGGGCGCAGGCCCGGCCGCCTCCCCCGCGGGCCGCACGGCCGCCTGGTGCACGCGGGCGCGGAGCCCCCGGACCTTCCCCATCGCCGGCCGCTCCGAGGAAGTGCTGCCGGAAGTCGGTCCCGCGCTCGGGGCCCGGCGGAAACCGGGGCCCGGCGGAAACCGGAGCCGCCGGGCCCGCGTTCCGCCGGAAGCACCGGAAGCTACCCCAGGGCGCCGTGGAATCCTGGGGCGACGGACACGCTAGGGGCCTCCTGCGCGGCTCGTTGTCCGCCGTCACGCACGGCCCTCAGGGACACACGAAAGGCCCACTCACTGTCCATGGTCACCCACGGCCCTCAGGGACACGCGGGAGGCCTCGCTACCCGGCTCACTGTCCATGGTCACCCACGGCCTTCAGGGACACGCGGGAGGCCTCGCTACCCGGCTCACTGTCCATGGTCACCCACGGCCCTCGGGGACACGCGGGAGGTCTCGCTACCCGGCTCAGCTGAGCTCCTGGTGTAGGGATGGCAGAGCGTCCATGGCTCACCCACGGCCCACAGCCAGAGGCCAAATGACTGGTGTGGACACCTGTGACCCCAGGACCATATCTGCTGGAACTTAGCTGACCTCAGTACAGCCAGACAGGACGACAGGCAGCAGCAGGCCTTGGGTCTGCGTGGGCCTGGAGCTGCCCATGGTTGGCTGTGCTGTGAAGGGATGCACCTCTGACCGTGGACACGCGTGTGGAGGCGTGACGTGTTGCTTGCTGCACATGGTTTCTGTCTCTACCCGCCCTCATGGAGTCATGCACCATCCATCCTAACTCCACGAGGTGGGGGCATGCAGGGGTCCCCGTCCCCCACGGCCATTCTTCCTGGACAACACTGGGCTTACTCGGACAGTACACACAGAAGGCACCCTGCACCTCGGATATCCCGGCCCGAGCCGGGAGGTGGCATGGCTACACCCTAGGACTGAGCAGGCACTGGGCTGAGGCAGGTGGCGCTGGCAGCTCGGATCCCAGTGCTGGTTCCAGTCCCGGCTGCTCCACTTCGCGTCCAGCTCCTGTGTTTGCATGTGCTTGCAGCCACTCGGGAAGTGGACCAGTGGTGGAAATCTCTTCCTATCCACCCTCCCACTTTTGTCATCCCCCTTTCAAATAAACACAACTTGAAGCATACACACTTGCTTGTACACCGAAGGCCAGAAGGGAGCAGCCCCCAGCGACAGAGGGCAGGGTTAGTCAGCTAACCTGCACCCTTCTGGACATGCGCTGTGTGGGCTGACCCTCAGTGGGTCTCTGCTGCACACAGCTCACTGCTGAGAGACTGATGGGGACTGGACCTACTGCCTCCTGTGTAGGGGAGCCCCGGGGAGTGGACGCACCTGCGTGCCTCAGGTGGAACAGGGAGCAGCTGTGGGGAGGTCAGTCATGCAGGGATGGGACTGATATCCCCCAGATGTGACGTCCCTGCTCCCAAGAGAGAGGGCAGGGCTGTCACCATCAATCCCAAGCAGTGTCCTCTGGACGAAAGGGAGCTAGTGCTGGCAGCGCCCCCCAACACGCAGGGTGCTCCAGGTCCCACAGCATGGAGCCACACCACAGCCCCGTGCCCGCTCTCACCAGCCCTGGGTCATGAGCAGCCAGCGGGAACTGGCGCTGTGGCCCCGTTCCGTCTCCCCACCTCCACCCTACTTGCACTCGCCCTGCCCATCAGGTGAGTGCACTGCCTGGGCAGGTAGGTGGGAGGAGAATCGATGCCCCTGGAGGGTCCCTGGCTGTGTGCTGTTCCCAGGAAGCTGACCTGCTGGCCCTGGTTCCTGCAAGTCAGGTGGGGCTCACACATGGGTGGGTGGAGCAGGGCAACAGGGAGCAGGGCAGGAAGCAGTGTGGGCACCACAGTGCCTTCCGCAGCTTTCTCACTTAACCCCCCTCCCGGGCAATGCAGGGGCACCTGGCTGGCTGTAGCTGGGGCACCTGGGGCTGGGGCTGCTCCCACCCCTGCCAGGGTCCTGCCAGGGTCCTGCCAGCCTGCCGCCCTACACAGCTTGCGCCCACTCTCCTTTGCTACCTGCCTTCCTCTTTGTGACTTCTTCTTCTCGTGGGAGCAGAGGAGGTGGCATCGCCCTTCCCCCCTCCCCCCGCTCACAAGAAAGGAGAAGTTGGGGCGCCAGGCATCAGGGGAGCTAGACCCCCGACGATGCCATGGCTCTCTGTGGATCAGATGGGCGAGAGGCAGCCCTGCAGGGCAGGGGACCAGGAGGGACCAGGCTCTGAGCAGGGACTGCTGTTGGAGACACCCAGACGGGTGCCCGGAATCAGGGCTCCAGTGGGGCCTGCCTGACCCGGACCAGGTTCACAGTTCTGGGGGTGGGAGCTGACCACACTCCCACCCATTCTAATGGGAGGCGGTGGTGTCCTCCCACACCGCACAGATGTGGTCCTGTGCCCCAGCCACGAGGGACATGCTGAGCCTGGGGGCCCGGCTCCCACACAGGTCGGCACCTGGGCCCCTGCCATGCCCTGCTCCAGTTCATGACCCTGACAAGCTGGCACTGTGAGCTCAGCTCCCAGTCAGAGGCCCTGGGGCGTGGTCTGGGTGAGCCTCCTGCAGGGCCAGGGCTGCCCCTCCCAGGGGCCCCCGCACCTCCTCCCTGGCCCGCGCTGCTGCTGTTCTGGGCCAGGAAGGGTCAGGACCCAGACGGGCAGCAAGGCCAGCACTGTGACCATGTGGAGTCAGGGCCGGGTAGCAAGGCCAGCATTGCAGCCATGCGTGGTCAGGGCCTGGCTGGACCATGAGCCCAGCATTGCGGCCGCATGGGGTCAGGGTCTGGCTGAGCAGGGAGGCCAACATTGTGGGCATGCCCCCATCATGCCTGCTGCGTTCCTGGCTGGGAAGGGCTGGCCCTCCAGGGGACCATGTATGTCGCTTCAGCCCCAGATGTGTCCTGCCGTGTGGCCCATACCCTCCAAGCAAAGTATGCCCAACACACACCTGGTCCAGAAGATGTGCCGCAGGTGTTGGTTCTGGAGTGTAGTCTGCGCGTGGGCACAGAGCCGGTGCCGCCGTCATCAGCCACCCACTGTATAAGCACAGCAGCAACTAGCCTGGGGGCTTTGGCCTCAACTCCCTGGCGGGAGACCTGCTGGAGTTCCAGGCTCCTGGCTTCAGCCTGGCCTAGCCCAGGCTGTTGCAACCATTTCAAGTGTGACCCAGCAGATGGAAGACCTGACTATATGTGTAACACTGACTTTCAGTAGATACAAGCATAGACCATTAATTATCTCATTAGAACAATTTTATTTGAATGAGTTGGAGAGAGAGCAGTAGGGGAGAGAGTGTGTGTGAAAGAGCAATATTCCGTCCTCGAATGGCCGCAGCGGCCCGGACTGGCCCGGCCAAGCAGGAAACCAGGAATTTCCTTGAGGTCTCCCACGTGGGTGCAGTGGCCCATCTTCAGCTGCTTTCTGAGGTGTCATTGGAAGCAGAAGAGCCGGGACTTGAACCAGTAGCCCTATGGCATGCAGGTGTCATAGGGAGTGGTTTAATCCAGTGGCACCACGCCATCCCAGAAGCTATGGGTAGTGGGCACAGTACGCAAGGGAGGGGCTGCGCACACATGCAGGACGGTGCTGGGGGCAACGGGGAATGGGAGCAGCGCCATGCCAGACCTTCTGTGACTTGTCTCTCTCCAGAACCTTCTCTCTCAGATCCCTGCTCCTCCTGGGAACCCCCTGAAAGCAGGGGTTCCCGTCTCTGCCTCCCTGATGCCCCACCCTGGCGCTTCCCTGACAATCTTCCTCTTCCTCCTCTACCTCCCTATGTTTTCTTGCAGAAGGGGACATGGGAGGAGCTGGGTGCGAGGTGAGCCCCCGTTTCTGTGTAAGATTGGGGTGGCGGATGAGACGTCACTTGCCCCAAGCTCAGCAGAGATGGGTGGGGTCGGCACCAGGCTGCGGAGGAAGTGGAGTTGGGGGGCTGGAGGCAGAGGCTGACCGCAGGCTGGCCAGAGAAGGTGAGATTGAGGTTCAGCGGCTTCTAGAAGGGAGGGGCTGCTTCCTCCCCCAGGAGTGGGGTCCTGCAGGTCTCACTCGGGAGCGCATGCCCCAGGCTGGGGTGCGAGGCCCCCTCCTGACATCCGCAGAGAGGAGGGCCTTGTCTGCAGGGCCCAGAGCCAGCCTTGGGGGCGGGGCAGGTGCCCGCCTGCAGGGGACCCACTTTAGCCGTCAGGGTCAGCCACCCATCAGGTTCATCATCAGAAGAGGAACGTCCACCTGACCAGAGCCCCCAAGGGTAGAGGCAGAGCCAGGACCCGGTGTCCACTCTGAGAGGCGGGGCGAGGGCTGGGCCTCCCGCCCCCATGTCTGTGTGCAGCCTCTTCACACTCCCCGGCACATCGCACCCTCAGTCCCACACACTATTTTTACCCCAGGAGTTGCTGACAGCCCAGGCGCTTGCATCTGAACTTCCTGTATCGCCTCCAGGGGCCAACAGGTCAGGTGTGGGCCGAGGTGACAGGTTGGGGGACTCAGGCCTGGCGTGTTGATTCCAGGACGTGAGTCCAGGGCTGAGGGGGTTCAGGTGGCCAAGCGTCCAACAGCAGCCGAAACACCTCTGTTCTGACTCTAGGCTCCCCGTTTGAGGTCAGAGGACGAGGCCAGCAGGGCATGGCTGACCTCGCCACATCCTGCTCTCCCTGGCCACTGCACCTGGTCACCTGCGAGCAGCTCAGCCAGAGGCTCTGCACTGCCAGCAAAACTTCCCTGAGGGCAGCCCTGGCAGCCCAGGGCCCCAGCTGCCGTGTGGTGGCCACTGCACCACACAGCCTGCACACCTGGGGCTTCCCGAGGCAGCTGCCCAGGGTCCCAGCTCCTGCGTGGTGGCCACTGCAGCACACGGCCTGCACACCCGGGGCGTCCTGAGGCAGCCCAGGGCCCCAGCTGCCGTGTGGTGGCCACTGCAGCACACAGCTGAGATGCCCTTCAGCCCCGGGGCGTCCCGAGGCAGGCAGCAAAGGTGTTCACCTGTCCCGGGCAGGGCGGTGGGGTGGAAGCGGCTGCAGGGCAGGCGCCAAGGAGAGAGGCAGAGCATGCCGCCCAGCTGGGA